GGAGCGCCGCCGCGCTTCCCAAGCGGCGCACCATCCAGTGCGCCACCGGGCCGGCCCCTACCCTAACACTTCTGAGAGCTTTCAATATACAAAACGCATTCTGGATCTCAGAGGGGCATGTGTCTTTCTGGGACTCTTGTTCTGTTAACCACATTCCTGGAAACAATGTTTTATGGGGTTTCAGGGCTCCTTCAAGCAATGTAAATTTCTGCTACTTCTATCTTCCCATTTCTGATCTATTAACAATGCTTGAGGACCAAGGTAATACTGTTAATGATTATCACCACCCCAAAACCATTAAAGGACATGCTAAATACTGGCTGACATTCAGACATACGTTTAGCTGTGTTTTTATGGATAGAGAAAGATCAGATAGTTTGGCAAAAATTTCTGAGGTTCAGATATCCACTCCATCCTTGGTGCCCAGTAAATATTTCTAGACCACATTTTTCAAGTTCAATAAATGCCTGTCAGGTGATATGTTAGCAGTGATAGCATCTCTGCAAAACAATCAATGTCAAGAACCTTGAGAAAAACAGGTTTACTTCCTTCATATTCAGCAGCCATTACCGCCTTAAGTCAAGTTGCCTAATGGAAATAACAAAGCTCAGCCCATTCTAGAAACACTCGAGACAAAGGGGACAGAATCTGCAATCTCCCATGGGTTGCACCCACCTACTGACTGTCCAGCAGAGTAGGAATCTGTCCTCGTTCGGGAACGCTTATTGCCTTTGGTATTTGCTAGGGAAAGAAAGATTAAAAAGCACTTCAAACTTTGACTTGAAAGAAATTTGGTTGATAGGATATTTACAGTTGATACATTTTCTTACAATCATAAAAATATAATTTTTCTTTCTTTTTAAATTTCTTTTGTAGCTGGCTAGTACAGGGATCTAACTGTGGACCTCAGTGTTATCAGCACTACACTCTAACCAACTGAGCTAACCAGTCAGCCCCTAAAAATGTAATTTTTCCAAAAGCTATTACTCCAAAGAGAGAACAAAGACATATTACTCAGGAGTATGTAAGCGGATGTTAGCACGGGATATGCAATCTAGGGGGACACTCTATACTGTTGATTTGGATTTAGACAACATAATACAGATAACATAAGGTCAAAGTATGATTTAATTGTAGTGGATCAGAAGCCTCTTGTTAGTAAACTTCCTCTAAGGAGGTAGAAACAAAGTGTAGACAAAAAGATTGCTGTATCATATAGAATCTGTTTGCATTTCTTATTAAAATTCCAGTTTACTACTCTATATAAAGCCCAAACAAACAAAAATCACTACAGTACTTTATTTATCCTGAAAAAATTTAAATTAATATCTAAACCAATAATGGGAGTTTTCTGTTTTAGTTAATAAAAATACTTGAAATTCCTTTCCAGCCACCAGAGTTGCTCGTTAAAATGTAATGCAATAGCTCAGTAATGCATCTCTGGCTCCAGGCTTGAAGGGGAACAGGCTAATACAATATGTGTTGGATATTCCTAATTTGGAAGGGTGCCCAGCCTAGCTCCCATGTACTTGATAATACTTACTGTCCATCAGTCTCCAATTCAGCAACGGGTCGTAGACGAAGGCCTCCAGCACAGCCATGACACTATCCTTGTGTTCCCGAAGCACTTCCATTACTGTGTGACAAGTGATTCGGTAGTTGCCATCCAGACCAGTAACCTAGAGAAGGGACAGAGCAACTTACCACAGGAGTTACTATCTCTGGCTCATTAATGCCTTATGATGAAAAGCAAGTCATTTTTTTTTTTTTTTTTAAAGATGACCAGTAAGGGGATCTTAACCCTTGACTTGGTGTTGTCAGCACCAGGCTCTCCCAAGTGAGCAAACCAGCCATCCTTATATAGGGGTCCGAACCCGTGGCCTTGGTGTTATCAGCACCACACTCTCTTGAGTGAGCCACGGGCCGGCCCTCAAAAGCAAGTCTTGTCACCCTCACTCAGGAAGCAGAGACACGGGCCATATCGATGTATCAGCAATGTCTCGGAAGAAGGAGTCAGGGAGGACTATGATACATATGAAACCAGGTTTGAGGTCAAGGGGTAACACTTTCAAAGATGGATAATTTCTTTCTTTTCTTTTCTTTTCTTTTTTTAAAAGTTGACCAGTAAGGGGAATCTTAACCCTTGACTTGGTGTTATCAGTACCACACTCTCCTGAGTGAGCCATTGGCCGGCCCTAAAGATGGATAATTTCTAACATAATGGCAAACAACAGGCAACTGCTCCAGAAATCACATGAGCACTTTGGGAAACTGATGAGCTCTAACAAGCAAGTCTTTCCCTAGAGAGGGACAAAAAGCTGTATTTCAAAGCAGCTTGTTCCCAATATCCACTCACCTCCATAGCATTGGTCAACATTCTTGTTAGTCTAAATGGAATCTTCTCTGGGAACTTTTCTCTGGTCATAGCAACCTATAGGGTAATATAGAGAAAAAAACCCAATCAATGCTCAGATTGTTTTCTTTAGCTAAAGCAAGATGAAGGCAGGTGGCTTTCCATTGCATCATCTGCACTGGTTTTAATTACGGTGGAGAAATGAAGTAGCTTGAGTTTAGTGAGGAGACTTGTCACAGGCATTTGAAAGACTAAAAAAAAAAGAGAAGAACGAAAAGACAAAGGACAAGTGTGTACATGCTCAGGCCCTTGGCCAGCCAGCTGCCTGGAGGATGGGGGATTCCTCCACTCAGAGAGGGTGTGGGAACAGTAGCCCCTGCCACAAGCAGGCTTAGAGTCCAACTAAGAGCATGATTTCATTTCTTAGACTCACTTTCTGTTGTGGTAGTAGGAAAGGCAGGGGTGAGGATAAGGCATTCTGGGTTTAAGTTTGCCTGAACTGTCAGAGAAGGGTGAAAAGTGATCTCTTGGGCAGGTGAGCTTTATGTTGAGTTCTAGAACATGTGGTTCACCTCAAAGCAGTCCCCAAAGTCAATGTGTAGGATCTTTCCACTCAGCCGGTCCAGCATCAGGTTGGATGGGTGTCTTTGAGAAACAGAAGAGAGATCAGGTAAAGATCAACAAAGCATCACTGATCAACAAGTAGGGGGACAGTCTAGGTCAGGGGTTTGCAAAGGGCAGCCCTTGGGCCAAATCCAGCCCCCCACTAAACTAAATGAAGCTAAGGGCTGGCCTGTGGCTCACTTGGGAGAGCGTGGTGCTGACAACACCAAGTCAAGGGTTAAGATCCCGTTACCGGTCATCTTTTAAAAACAAAACAAAACAAAAACCAAAACAAAAACTAAAGCTTAGTAGTAGAACCATGTCATGCTCACTTGCTTATGTAGTACTTTAGGATGCCTTTGTGCTATAACAGCAGAGTTGACAGGCTGATAGAGACCATATGGTTCACAAAGTCTAAAATATTTATTACCTGGCCCTTTACAGAAAAAGTTTGCTAACTCCTGCTCTAGGGCCCGAGTGAGGATTTATGGTATGAGTTACACATGGAACAGATAACTTGCTTTCCCGAGATCTTGGGTACATGATAGTTTCTGGCAGGGCTGGCACCTCAGAGTGGTAGGGCTCTATCATTACTACTGAGCAGCTGGAGCCCCTGAGCCAGTCCAGACAGGATCGGCTGGCTTTTATCAATAGGCATTCTGCTGGGCCGGCCCGGTGGCGCACTGCGATAGTGCGCTGCTTGGGAGGCGCGGCAGCGCTCCCGCCGAGGGTTCGGATCCCACATACAGACCGGTTCCCGCTCACTGGCTGAGCGAGGCGCGGGAGCAACACCGAGGGTTGCAATCCCGTTGCCGGTCCCAGTACGGGGGCGACACTGAGGGTTGCGATCCGTTGCTGGACACGGAAAAAGACAAAAAAATAAAAAATAAAAAAATAAAAAATAAATAGGCATTCTGCTGTTTTTTTTTTTTTTTAAAGCATGAATTTATTATTATTATTATTACTTTTTTTTTTCCTGAATGGTAAGGGGATCGGAACCCTTGGCTTGGTGTCGCTGGCACTGAGCTCAGCCAGTGAGCGCACCAGTCATCCCTATATAGGATCCGAACCCGCGGCGGGAACGCCACTGCGCTCCCAGCGCCACACTCTCCCGAGTGAGCCATGGAGTTGGCCCAGAATTTATTATTTTTGTAGGGTAAAAGTATTTTTTCTCTCTCCTCCTTAGCATAGTGGTGGGAAAAAAGGCAAAAAAGAAAAAATTATTTTTACTCTCAAATAATTGCATAAAACATGATCCCAGGAGAAAAACTGTAGACATCAAAGAACCAGTTTTGTTTAGGTTCTTCTGAGTCAATTTCTGAACATCTCAAAATTACTTTTTTGGTCAGTACATGTGAGTAAAATTTATTAAGCAAAAATATCAGAAGGATCTACTACTTTGGTTGGTTTCAATTATAGAAATAGAAGTATTTACCTTAGCATAGTGGTGATTGATAAATGTTTATTGAATCAATAAAATCAATCTGATTTAATATGGTTTTTAATACATTAAACCAACCTATGGAGAAAGTAGTACTTGAACTACAGTTTTTTCCTTTAGTTTGATGTGTTGTTCTATTGGCATATGGGTAATAAATAGGGTGCTAAGGTTGATGCTGCAAAAGAGGCCTGAAGTACAAACTACAAATATTTATTCACCAAATTGTCATAAATCTCACTGGAAAACAAAATGAAACCTTTCAAGAAAACTACAATGGAGAAAGAATACTAAAAGAAACAAACGAAACTTACTCACCTATCTCCCAGGCCCAAAATATATCCAACCATTGACATGACTGCTAAAGAGCGGGTGTAATTGGTTCTTCGGTCAAACCACACCTAGAACACAGAAGCACATATGAATTAAGACTCTTGAAACTACCTAGGTTCAACATAATTATAACCCAATGAGTTGTTTTGTTGTATTATATCATTAACCAGTTAGAACATATAATGGAATGAAGATTCTATTCACAAATATTACAATAACAAACTATGCCTTGAAATAAACTTCATTAGAAATGCATAGGACTTAGATGAATAAATAAACTTTTGTTAGGAACATAAAGAACTGAATAGGTCTTGCTTGTTAGCTGAGTCGGTTAGAGTGTGGTGCTAAAAACACGAAGGTCCAGGGTTTGATCCCTGTACTGGCTAGCCATTGAAAAAAAAAAAAAAAAAAAAAAAAAAAAAAGAACTAAGTAAATGAAAATATTCATTTCAGGATATCCACTTAAGATTATAAAGATGTAATATCCTCCCAAATCATTTGATACATTTAATATAATTCCAATAAAATTCAGTGGTACCTTTTGGGGACCCTTACAAAATGATCCCAAAGTTTATCTGGAAGAAATATATGAACTAGCCAGTGAGAAGGAACTTGTATTAATAGTACAGTACTTGAGGAGAAACGGGCAGAAAAAGCATTGAACTAGAATAGAAGCCCTAGGAAGAAATCCAAGGGTACATAAGAATTTAGTGTACAATAAAAAATGGAATCTTATACATAGAGGGGAAAAGGGTGGATTATTTGATAGACTGGTGATTAATCATCTTTAAAAAAATAAAGTTATACCCTAATCTTATAATAAATTCCAAACTGAGTTAGGACTTAAATGTAAAAAAACAAAACAAAAAAAACCAAAACAAAATACTTATAATAAGTACAAGGAAATACAGGTAAAAAGATACATAATCTTGAGGTGATAATCTTATAATAAATTCCAAACTGAGTTAGGACTTAAATGTAAAAAAACAAAACAAAAAAACCCAAAACAAAATACTTATAATAAGTACAAGGAAATACAGGTAAAAAGATACATAATCTTGAGGTGAAGGGCCTTTTAAAATATAAAGCCAAAGGTAGAAACTTTAAAGAAAAGGATTAAAAATCTGATAACTTATAACTCAAAAAAAGGTCTGTATATCATAAACAAAAATCCAAAACCAAAAACCATACTATTAACAAAATTAAAAGAACAAATAAACAGGAAATTTGTAACATATATGAAAAAGACTATCCTTAATATATAAAGAGCTCAAATACGATTGCAAGCAACAGGAGAAAGATTAAACTACTCAATCTAAATCTGCTAAATTACATGGCTCACCCACTTAATTGTTGTTAAGAGAGAATGTACATTATCTGTAGCTAATCTTAACAAAGAGGAGTGCATCGCGTGTGCCTGAACAAACGAGGAGCCCATCCTTTTGAGAGTGGGGTGTGCAAAGGGAGTGGAATGCCTGAGTGGCCGGGTGGCCGTACCTCTGAGCTAGGGCTTTTCAGCCAAAGCAACTTGGCCAAGTCGTCCCCAGCTGTGTTATTGACTGCATGCTCAAACACCTCCACTTTCTGCATCAGAGTAAGGTGGTCATAGTCTGGAGCCATCTGTATCAGGACACAACCATATAGTAAAACAGCAGCCTAAGACAAGCAGCTTACTCCAGAAAGAAATAAGGATTGGGGTTCAGGCAGACGTGGGTTCTAATTTCACCACCAGAACCAAAAAAAGAAAGGAAATAAGAACACTGCAAAAGGAAAAAGGGAGTAGCCTCTCTAACCTGATGGCCACGGGAACTCCCAGGGCATAAGGAGAAAACACTAGGTCTCATCCCAGTACAAGCCTACTGGTGTGGATGAGAGTACTGAAGGTTTCAAGCAATTGTCTTCCTATTACTCACACATCGACTAAACATGACTTCTCCATATGACCAGTGCTTTGTATACATTAGGTTGCCTAATATTTATCTGTCTAGTCTCACCTAGGATGATGAAAACAATTTCTGGGCTTTAGGGTCCTTCAGTTTCTTAGAGAAGGTTGCCTGCTTTAGGACTCACTTCATTAAACCGTCTTTAACAGATGACTGCCTCAAGTAGATTATTCAGTGATGGACATACATAGTACAGCCAGGAAAGCAGCTCTATGTAGATTCCCTGATGTGTGAGTTTTGCCTCCAAGGCCATTACAGGTGGGTTGGGGCTGGCAGCCTCATCACATACCCGCAACATGATGCGATGCTCAATATTCAGAAGGATCTTCTTTTTCTCCCTGTAGTCCCGGATGAGGGCGTGCAGTGTGTCACAGTGGGGGACCCAGCCAATGAGGCCCGAATTAGTTGATAAAGGGATGACAGCATATCTCTGAATGCTGGTATCCACAGGAAAGCAGGGTTATTGTAAAGTAGAGTATACTTTTGATCAATTCAGGACACATGCAGACTATTTTTAATGAATACTCCTGCACCGGGCTGCTGTGAAATGTGTAGTGAGGGACACATTGTGAAGAATAAAGCATCACAGAAAGACAGTGCCCTAGTGATATGAAAGCAGTATTGGTCTTCTCAACTTGCTTGACAAACTCATTGCTTTGGGGGAACAGTCAAGTGACTAAGGTTAAAATAACCTCTCAACTTAATATTTTCAGTCTTAATAGGAAGAGGAGCAACAGAGTACTGAGGATAGAAAAGGGTTGGCTGGGCTTTCATCCTACAGGGGTAAAACACATCAAATTGGTAGAATCTCTGGTTTAATTGCCATAAATTGCTCCAATGTGGTATCTTTGAAGGTTGCTAAAGGCATTTCTCAATGAGAATACTCTAAAAATTCTGGAGGATTTTTCTTTTTTTTGACACCTTGACTGTTGATGACTTCCTGCCAGGTACATATTCTATAACTTATTTCGTAAAGGTATGGGACTATATGGGACAGATGTAGGAAAAAACGAGAAGACTTCTCAAATCTTTGCCATTCTCACAGCATTCTGAATACCTGAGGTTCTTCCGAAGAGACGTTGGGTCATTGGCCAGAAGGGTGTTGACCAGGCCGAAGAGCTGCATCACACGTTCATCCTGGCGCAGATCTTCATGGCCTTTCAGGAGGAAAACAAACTCATGCCCATTGCTGCCTGTAAGGAATGGTGGGATTAGTTAGTGCAGATCAGAGGTTCTCAAACCACCAGTGTATTCAAAGATCCTATGAACTACATCTGCCTTACCTAATCACACTTTCCCTACAAAAGAAAAAAACACTCCCTAGAATTGATTAAAAGTATTGGCCTGCTTTTAATGGTCCCTCAATGACCAATCACCAATGTTCTTCATATTTAAAGAAAACAAAAGCTGTATTTGAGGACCAGGAATGATTATGCATAGAGAATATCATTCTATATGTTCTCTCCTCCCTGGTCCACTCTGTCCTTCTCTGTCCTGAGAAGCCTGACTCCTACAAACCACATCACCTGGGATCCCAGTTGGACATGGCCAATGGGGGGCACTGGCAGGGGTCAGAGGATAGGCAGAGGGAGAGGTCAGGGTATTTCCCCCACAACCAGCCTGGCCACAGTTCTAAAAGTAGCTATGTTCCTCTGTCTGGGCTACAGCTACTATTGGATGGCCTCTCTTTCAGGTCTGGAGGGCCGGGGTAGGGTGAACAACAGCTTCTCACTGCTGCTTGTTCCTGGGTGCTCCTTGTTGGTTCTCTTGCCTTTGCTCACACCTTTGGAAACAGCTCCTTCATTAAGCTAAATAAACACCCTGAGAACCTGACTCCTGTTTTAGTATTAGAAGATCAGCCCATGGAGGGCCGGCCCTTGGCTCACTTGGGAGAGTGTGGTATTGATAATATCAAGGTCACGGGTTCTAGGGATGGCCAGTTAGCTCACTTGGGAGACCATGGTGCTGACAACACCAAATCAAGGGTTAAGATCCCGTTACCAGTCATCTTAAAAAAAAAAAAAAGATCAGCCCATGGAGAGACAATAAACTGTGGACCATGATTAATTGGTGTTGCTGAATAATCACTGCGTTTAAGAAATAAGCATTACGAAGAGAGACCACGAAGTGTCACCAGAGTACCTGGGACTACCTAAACTATCTCAGACACTCAATCCCTAAGGGAAATTGCAGAGGCAGTTTGTTTAACAAACCTCACTATGAGAATTCATTTCTACTTCAGTTTGTTCATTTTATACAATCTTTTCCCAAAAAGAGAGAATATGATTAAAAAAAAAAAATTTCAAGAATACAAAAGTTCTTTTTCTTTTTTGGTGGCTGGCCAGTATGGGGATCCGAACTCTACTGCACTCTAGCCAACTGAGCTAACCAGCCAGCCCTGGAAGCTCTTTTATCAAAGTAGCTCGTCACCTTCCATGTTTGCATCCAGATGCCTCTTTACTGGACTCAGCAGTTCCCCAACACCTGCCCATCACAACCAGTTCTCCCCATTGTATGCCTTTGTAATTCCCTTAGTGCATGATCATTATGCTTCATTTAAACAAGCACAATTATATGAATGAACCAAGAATCCCAAGGAGGATGTGATAAGGGGAAATCCACTTGTCCTCTATTCCTCTTTCAATAAACACAAGAGAGATGTAGCATATGAAAGATTAGTAGTGAGAAGGGCAAGCAGTAATTCCAGAAGAGGGGAGGGGGACTCAGCCAGGGTGGGAGGGAGAAGCAGGTGGCAGAAGTGTGCAGTGTTCCTTACCCATAAGTGTCAACTTCCGGGGCCTCTGCTTGGATGTGATGACTTGCAAAGATGGTGCTATGGACTGAATGCGAATGATCGGCTGGTTGGGGTCATACGTTCCTGGCACAGCCAATTCAAGGTCCCGGCACATCAGAAGTTTTGGGGAAACATATTGCAGCTCTAAGGATGTGAGCTGTGAATAATTACCAAAGGATTTAGTGTTCTGCCTCCAGGGAGGAATTTAAGTATTTTTCAATGGATTGCTAATAGCAATTACTTGTCCCAAAGTCTTGCAGGTAGAAGTGAAACCAGATGCTTTGGAATGAGTGTTAGAACATTAACAGATAGTAAAACAGGAAGGACTATGAGGACGGTTAAACCTGCTAGAAGCCTGAAGATCCTACCTGAGGCAGCTGCTTTGAGATCCGCCTGAACACATGGTAATAGAGGTCCCAGGCTTGCGTGAGGTCCTTGACATTCCCTGATTTCATGTACTTCCTGCACCACTCTTGGGCCTCCATCAAATCTCGACCATATGCCTGAGAGGGAAAGCACAGCAAATCTACAAGTTGTCAAGGTGTCAACTAGGCCAGGAGGATAAATCCCCAAGTAGACCGCAGAAATCCCTTAGGAGCCTACTGTGGCTGGAAGGTATTGGTAGGAAACTGGTGAGCAAGAGAAGCTGGGCAGGTCTTCATTCCTGGACCTCCTAAATCGCCGGATGGTTTATTAGGTAAGAGAGGGTTAGAGGAGAGACGAGATGACCTCTTGAGGAATCCTGTGATTTTCCAGTTCAAATTTCAGGAGGGTTCTTGTAACTTAATGACATTATATTTCTAGTGTTTTTACATCCTGTGACCTCCATCAGAGCATGTTTTATTAAAGTCAGTAGGAAGGCTAGAGGGGAAGGAGTCTGATAAAGACCTTGGGTAATGTCCTTTCATTCTTTGTATCCCATACCTGATTAAAGGATGTTTCCTTCAGAGTCTGGGGGCCCCGCTCCATCATAGCATGCAGGGGCTCCAGCACCTCAAACATGCCTTTCACATTCCTCTCCCCGAAGTACAATCGAGATGCCTCTTCCAGGCCTTCGTGCCACATCTCATGCCAGAGGATGGCCACTCGGATCAGCTCCTCACTCACCTGGATCAAAGAGGGGAAGGAGAGGGGCACCAAGGGTAAGCTAAACTCAGAACAGTCTGTCTTGGAGAAATAGGAGGTACTCTTTCTGGCAGCCAGAAGGAGTATGCAGCAGTCGTGAAGAAGAAAAACACTCACTGGAGACTCTGGCTAGGGGACAGGGTCAGTGGACTCACACACTGGCTCTGGACTCACCATCATGGCCTGCTGGACCAGTGTGTTACTGTGTTCACACATGTTCTTCAGAATCTTATTGGCTGCATTGTGACGGGCTGTCGTGGTAGACTTAGAAGCCACAGTCAGGGGGTAGATGAGGGCCTGAAGCAAACACAGAAGGAACATTTGCAAAGGGATGTGTCAAGGAAGCCTGATATGAATTTTCAGGAGAATGACAAAAGAAGTGGTGAGGATATATTAACACCCACTTGAGTCTACCAAGGGGGCCTCTCAATCTTGGAGGGAACTCTGGGACTGCTAGCTGGGGAGAACATTCTGGGGCAGAACAGAATGCTTGGCTTGAGTTCCTGCACTTGTGTCTCTAGATCAGCTTTAGGAAAGGCCGACTACCAAATCAAACATCAATGGTTAGCTGAGGAACTGACCAGAGTCTTCACATACCTGGGGGTGGTACCGACCAATGTCTGTGAGAAGCTGGTGAATGAGACGTCCCACCAAGTGTCTAGGTGTATCAATTCTTGCAATGAGCTGAGGTATTACCTGGTATTAAAAAAGACACAGTCTGCAGCATATGAGACATAGAAAGAACTCTGGTTATTCTTCTGGGCAAAGGTCAACTATTCTAATTTGTTTTGGTTGATGTTGTTAGGCTCTGAAATGGTTCATTCCTTTCAGTTCTCCGAAAGAACTAAAGAAAATATGGAGTCTTGACCTTGGGGCCAAGCCCTACTTCCTCAGCACTGCACACCCATGCTGCCTTGCTACTCTGAACATTGCAGGATTCCGAGAGGAGACAAAAGAGAGAGAAACTGACTCATCCTTACCTGTAACCAAGTATCGATCTGGATCGCTTTCACCCCTTCCACTAAGGCTTCATTGACATCTGGCCAGTGACCATAATCAAACCATAAGGTAAGAACTCTGGAAAAGAAAACGAGAAAGTCAAGGAAGATTTAGTTTCCCAGTTTTTGTCTGTTTTTCATCTTTAAGGCTCTTGAGAAGTGGCAGGGACTCAAATCTGGCTCTTCAATGTGTCTGGTCTCTGGAGCCTTTGAGAGAGGGTGGGCGTGATGAGTGGCAGTACTCTTGACTGAACACCTTGGGGGTCATCCTGAGTGAATGAGTACTTCATCCCAGATCATATTGAGAAGTCCCCATGACATAAACTCAGACATTGAACAGATGAGCCGGGATAACCTTTAGAGAACCACAAATCTGCATGTACAAAAGGAGTCACTTGTAGAGCAGTGGCAACAGGGGCACCTGGCACTTAACCAGCTGGAGATCCGCAGACAAAGGAGGAGGCTGCCCTTGCTTCCTCTAACCTCTGAACTGACGGATTTGGGCCATAGGTTTAGACCTTTCAAAGTTGCTGCCTCTTCAATGTGTGAAACATTGTGATAACAGATGGGTTAATTATTCTTTCACTCCACTTTTCCTCCTTAATCTTTGCAGGTTTCACCCCCACAGGTGGGGCCTGGTCAGCTGTTACTCCTCAATACTGCAGCACAGAGAAGAAAGCCTATAAACCGATCTTGGGTGTACTGATTAGGGTGGGTACTTCTGTGTCCTGCCATTAACACAGCCTGCCTACCAGGGCTTCATCCTCCCCTTCCCTGATACCTGAGTGTATCCTGGAGGTTGTTGCCTCGTGACAAGGAAATAGAACGGAAGAAGCCCTGGACGGCAGGGACAGTGTACATCAAGAGGGTCTTGGACAGATCCTGTTGGAACACACATGTTAGTGATACTCTTGCCTTAGTTTTCTCATCTGTAAAATGGGCATAATAGCATACTAATAGTATGTACCTCAAAGGGTGGTTATGAGGATTAAATCAGTTAGTGCATGAAAAGCCTTTAATCAGTCCCTGGCACATAGCAAGCACTCAACAAAATGGCAATTGTGTCAAAATTATTATCTTGGGCTAACAGTGGCTTCCTGAACAGGGTGGCAGGAGGAGATGGGGCTGAAGCTCTGAACAAGCTGATGTCTGGGCCTGCCAGTTGCTCTGGTGCATTCTGAACTGACAGCCCAAGGTGAGGTGGGAGGGGAAAGAAAGGGGCAGAGGACATGGCCTGGGGGATCCTCAGAGTGGATGCAGTGAACTGCACAGCCACCCACACACAGGTGCAGTGCAGGGGAAGAATGGGCTTATCCATGTGGGAAGCACTACAAGGAACTTAGGACTTCAGCTCAGGGGCTATGTCAGCTCCCCAAACACAAAAGCACTGTCTTGAGCAACACTGGTATGGCAGACAAGCCACATTTTCTAGCTCCACCTGAACTTCAGATGAAACCTCAGGTTTTCTCAAGCTTAACAATGATTCCATTCCTCAGAGAGGGTGGTGCCTTGGTCAGTTCCTTATCCGGAGGAAGGAAGGGTACCTCGGTGACCTTCTTCTGCAGAGGAGAGGGTGTGGGGCTGCTCTCTGTGCTCTCAGCCTCGCTCTCACTGTTGCTGCCCTCGGTGCTGGTGGTGGTGGCAGTGGCAGCTGTGGTGGCGGCAGTGGTGGCGTTGGTGATGTTGGCCCCGCTGGTGTGACGCAGTTTCTTCTTCTCATCACGGGCTTGATTCTGATGTTTGTAATGGAGCACAGCTTCAAAGTTCATCACAGCCCATGCGTGCCAGGCCTGGGTGGGGTGAGAGTCAAGGACAGACAGAAGGGCTGTGACCAACAGCAGAGCTTAGAGGAGAGTGAGGGCAATGCTGGGGAAAAGCTGTGACTGCCTACTCTTCTCTGTGGTCAGTAGAGTTAGACTCCACTTCAAGGAAACACTCAGAAATGGGGCATTTTACTAAATTCCCCGAGATTCCCTCATTTTGTGGAGCCCTTACTATATAAGGCACGGTGTCAAGTGCTGTGGGGTGAAGGGCACAGCAAGAGGAGCAGGATATGGTCCTGCCTCTGGGATCTCCTGATCTTGTAGGTAGCTCACTCACAAACCTTAAGATCTAAATACTCTGCAAGACAGAATGTGACTTGGGCAATAAAGAGATGTACAATGGAAAGATCAGGGACAGGGATTTGGGGCAGGGCTGGAAGAGCAGCTGTAGATGGGAAAGAAGGGAAGAGAGAGGGCAGCAGTGATGACTTCCTGGCAAGGGGAAGCACAGAACAGCTCATGGAAAACCAGCAAGCGGATGTTGACTGAGCGTGGGATACATGCGGGACAGGAATGAGGAAGGCCAGCAAATGCTGGGGGCAGATGATGGAGGAGCAGACACGTGAGGCCAAAGGGGTTCCATTTCACTCTGCAGGAAAACAGAGCTGTTCTAGGCTTTAAAGTGTATGAAACAGACTATTAAGAGAGCAGAGATTGGGGGCAAGCAGCTAGTTGTCACAATATTTCAGGGGAGTGATACTGAAAGTCTGAACAGGTTACCAGACAGTGGATATGGGAAGACATCGAGAGTACAGGAGCATGATCTGGGCCCTGACACCTGGCCCCTGGCCTGACAGAGAAACAGTGCTCAATGACTGCTTGATGGAAGAAGCTTTGGTGCTTACTTGGATAAAGAAGGACTATTCACATCTCTGAGGTTTTAAGCTGTGGTGACTCTATAGTATACCATTGCTTGGTTTAGACAGAAGGAGGCAGAGTTTGATTTGTGGCAAAGTAACTTTGCTGTTACAGTAAGACATTAAATAATCCACTAATAGTTAGACTTCCCAGATAATCAGGACATTCCTTTATATCTCTTGCTAAAAACCTTTAAAATAAACGTGTTAATTTTCCCATCTAAGCAGAGTAGATTGATCATGATTGAACTTTACTTGAGTAAGAATTCTATGATGACCCACATTCTGTTTTCCCATAACTTCTTTTATTTAACAAATACCTCTCGAATATCTATGATGTACCAGGCACTGACCTGGTGTCAAGGTGATCAAGACAAACAGTTCTGGCATGCACACAGGGCATGCAACCCCTTGGTATTGATGGTAGAAAACATCATAAAATCAAAGGGACCAACACTAGGAAATGCTTTTAAAAACTAGAACTAAAGTTTTTGGAAGCAGCTTTTTTCTTTTGATTTTCTTCTTTCCTAAAAGCTGAATGAAGAAACATAATTGGTTAGGGAACAAGTTCTAATTAGTAAGATTCCAGCTAATCAAGTGTTTATTGGATTTATTTTCCCAGGATTGGACATGCATCTGTCCTAGAGAAGGTAATTACTGCTCCTATCACAAAATGAGCATTTTTCAGATCGGAATGAAGTATGTTTAAATGAGGATAAGATTTTTGTTGTAAATGCTTCTGCAGTCTGCAGAAGCAAGTTTTGATCCCAGAAGGATTAGTTCACTAAGTATTAGCAAGTTAAGGAGATAGTGGAAAGAAATCGATGAGATTTGCTATACCAAGCAGCTATTACCAGGGGACCCTTCAGAAAAGATATAAAAAAAAGTGAATGTATGCTCTCACCAAAGATGTATAATTCCAAGAGTCACCCCTCCATCAATCACATCTTTTATACATTTTCTAAATCTGTTTAGCTTTTCAAAAGGTTTCCTGTAACATAACAGGATCCAGATCTTTCCAATAAAAACAAGGAAAGTTAAGTTCTTAGCTAAGGAGCAGGCAGAAATGGAAATCAGGAAAAAGCTGGGAAGGAAGAGATGACCCAAGGGAAGACAAAGTTCCAGAGATTAACTGTGTATCCAGATGCTCCTAGGAAAACAAGTGGCTCAGAGTCGATAAGACAGCAGTAATCCCTAGTGCCACACATGTAATAATGCTGCAGTATTTCTCAAATGAAAGAATCAATCAATCTTTCTATATCAATTAAACTTGTAAAGGGAAATGCGGGCTCTTTGGGCCTCTGACAGAGAGGCTCTAGGCACTCAAAGAAGCAAATTCAGAGTATCAGACGAGCTCCACAGGGGCTCAGCTGTAGCCACGAGGTCACAGGAGAACACGGTCACAGAAGGCTGCCAGGGGTTGGGTTTCACCCTGCCCTTGCTTCTGAGTCACCTTGTACCAGCTGCGGTCATGCTCCGTGGCGGCGCTGTAGTACTGCAGCACTTTGGGGATTGTGCTCTCGTTGATGCCCTGTAGATTCAGCTGCCATTCCCCAAGTTTCAGGAAACATCTGCAAAAAGAAAAACAGCCCTTCTAAGGAGAAAAAATATTATGTCAGGGGAGCACTAGAGCCTTTCTGGCATTTTCTCTCACTCTCAGAAGGCAACATAATGGAACCAGCAGTTTTTAACCACATAGGAGGAAGAAGATGGGCTTTTGGGATAAATTTTTTTTAAGGTATTGTCTTTTCTTCTTGACCTTTGTTTTTCAATGATAGCATAAACCAGGTACCTGGTACAGATAAGTCTGTATGGATCTACTCACCCCAAGTCATATTTTTGTGGGTGATAGCTGTTGAGAGTGATTTTTCTCGTTGATTGGTATACAGTTTCTCCCTTACTTTTCCCTTTCCCTCCACTCTTTATAATGGTAATATTAACAGCTAACATTTCTAATAGCTACTGTTCCCTGGTACTGTTCTAAATGCTAGACACTACTCTTTCCATTAATCCTCACAGTACCCTAGGAAATAGGAACTCTTATTACTCCTTTTATACAATGAGGAAACTGAGGCACAGAGAGGTTAAGTAACTTATCTAAAATCACACATCAAGTAGCAGCCTATCTGGCATTTGAAAACGAGGAGTCTAATTCTAAAGCCTGACACCAGGAAGAGAACAGCACCTGGGTGCTTTTGGGCTGCTGAATCCTAGGAAAATAAATGACAGATACTTTGGAGAAGCACAATTCAATGGCTAATGGGATCCCTACTGGGAAAGGTGAGAAAGATGTCATCAACTAGCCACCCAAAGAGCTTTGAACACTCCCCTTGCTGCAAAAGCTACTGGGATGGCATGGCTAGAATGCAACTGGCCCCAGAACAGGGAAGGACCTCACCGGGCCATAAGCTTGTGCAGCTCTTGCTTGTGCTGCTGGTCCTCTGTAGCGATGGCATGCTGGGCCTGCTGCTGCATGGTCTGTACAAAGTGCTGCATGTGCTGGAAGGCATCGATCTGTAGCAGAACAAAGGCACAGACAACCACTTGGCATGGGGCCCAACCTCAAAGGAAAGGAACTATTACTGTTCATCTGATAGGCACATGAGTCAACCCCTCTCTAAGCAGAACATCCTAGAACACACAATGAGGATCCTATAGGACAGAGGGCCAGGGCGTGATGCTGGGAGAGGGCGGCGCTCTTCAAGAAGATTCATGATTTATTCCACTTAAGTCTTAGCTCTCTTTTGCCAACTATGACTACCAGTTTTTTTTTTCCTTTTTTTTTGTCTTTTTTCGTGACCAGCAACGGATCGCAACCCTCAGTGTCGCGCCCGTACCGTACCGGGACCGGCAACGGGATCGCAACCCTCGGCGCTGCGCCCGCACCTCGCTTAGCCAGTGAGCGGCTGGTCTGTATGTGGGATCCGAACCCTTGGCGGGAGCGCCGCCGCACTCCCAAGCGGCGCACTGTAGCAGTGCGCCACCGGGCCAGCCCATGACTACCAGTTTTAATTAGGCTTGGAAAAGTTACGTGCCTGGCTGCCCCAAATAACCACTCGTGTGAAGTAATGTGAAACAACTGCTCACTTCACTATCATTATATTGCCCTGGGGGAAATTAGGCTTATAGGGAATTGTCTCAGGTTAGTAAAACTCTGGTATTTGTTTACAACACTATAGCACCTTGGACACTCCAGCACAGTAAAAACTATGGATTTAAAAATCAGATAGAACCCTCAGTACCCAAATAAGAATACAGAGATGGAGTGAAACCCTACATGCATACAAGTGGAATAGGGAGCAGGCACTAGCTAAGCAGACATCTAGTTGAACAGGGAGATTTGGAAGCAAAATCTTCAGAGCATCCTCAAGCAGTTAGATTTATTTACGCTATAGAATTTTATACAAAGTAACCAGAAGGAATTTGAGTTAGGAACAGACAGTTGAACTAGAGAAGAGCAGAGAGATGTAGAGTTGCAGATCTGGGAGTAGTGCGCAAGCCATGTCCAGACATACCAGCATCTTGATAAATGGGGTCCATACCATTTTTTAAAGGACTTCAAGGATGACGATAGAATATATAAACAACAAAAGCTCAAATGGAAAAGTGGCAAAATCTAAATCCACTAACAGAGGGAGATGAAACATTATATGAGATAATGTGAAAAAGAGGCTGTGTATTCTTTGCTGCAGAAGAGGAGGAAAAAAACATCAACACTTTAAAAAAATAAGTCTCCTTAAGATAAATCATTTAAGAGGTTTTTAAAAGTTTTTTTTTTTTTTAATAGAACCATGTCAGTGATGATGACCCTGAAGGAAAACAAAATTCCCTGGCTTAGGGGCCAGGACCAACCTCAGATACTTCAATATAAAGAATTAATTGGCCTTAAGAGATAGAGTTTAACCCAGAACCAAAATGATGTAAAAATCAATTGATCTGGGCCGGCCCATGGCTCACTCGGGAGAGTGCAGTGCTGATAACACCAAGGCCATGGGTTCGGATCCCATATAGGGATGGCTGGTTGCTCACTGGGGGAGCGTGGTGCTGACAACACCAAGTCAAGGGTTAAGATCCCCTTACTGGTCATCTTTTTTAAAACAAAAACAAAAACAAAAACAAAAAAACCAATTGATCTGGCAGCTAATCCATGCATGAGGACAGGGCAGACACACAGATGTTCCAACAGTTAACAAGACACCTGTCTCCCTCAGACATCTGCCTTTGGAGTTCTATTACTCACCACTGCCTTTGAAAAATGAATTACATTAGCATTTCACACCTGGGAATTGATAAATGTTCCTTTAGTTTTTATTCTAGGAGAACTACACTGACCAGATTTAAATCTGAGTTAAAAAAAAAAAGAATTGGGAGGCAGTACAGTACTAAAAAGATCAATCATTAAAAAGGTGATTGAGGGCCGGCCCGGTGGCGCACTGGAGAGTGCGCTGCTTGGGAGCGTGGTGGCGCTCCCGCCGAGGGTTCGGATCCCATGTGGAGACTGGTTCCCGCTCACTGGCTGAGCATGGTGCGGGCGCAACACCGAGGGTTGCGATCCCGTTGCCGGTCCCTGGTACGGGCGCGACACTGAGGATTGCGATCCCGTTACCGGTCAGTAAAAAAGACAAAAAGGGAAAAAAAAAAAAAAAGGGGATTGATAACTCAGTGTGATCAGGGTATACATCAAGCATAGGCAGGAACTAAACTAAGAACTTTGATGCCAGCTGCTTTTCAGAACCCATAAGGTATGTGTCATTGACAGTCCAGACATAGAGTTTTAACTCTTTTTGGTGGACTTGGCAGCAGGCTGAACGAAAAATAAATTGCCAAAAATGGGGAGGTTGGGTATTAGTTTGGATTTGAAGCCCAATATTAAGTTTATCCAGCTTGGGAGAATCCAGTATCTTTCTATTCTGTAGCACAAGGCAAGTGATTTTCAAGGAACTGAAAATGTTCTATTTATAACTTCTTTTCTCCATCTCCAGGGGGAAAAATGATTCCTTCCCTCTTACAAATGAAGGACCAGCTACTCACAGGAAGGGGCTTCTCTTGGAGCCACAGAGTGCAAGCTGGGCATAGTACACTGGTTCTGAACTGCATGGGTAGTTTGTGGGCAAGAATGATGTTTTTCATGGAAGGACCAACCTGTCTCTAGATTCTGTGAAGTGTCTCATCTAAGAAAACTTTATACATATACCTATTGTCTGATGACTTCCTGAAAAGCGTGGTCAGCTTTTCCCCCAAATTTTCTTTTGCCTTAGGTAAGGCAGAGAGTATGATCCTTACTTACAGTGGAGGGAAGAAAGGTTCACACAGTGACTTGTTCAGCAACACAATTATCAGGTAGTTTCCTTTGGGTAGCTCCTGAACTATGAAGATGTGACATCTCTAGCTCTGGGCTTGAAGTCCAAGCAACACCTAACTTTAAATAGTTTTCTAAAATTTTAATACCACCAGAATTTGGGCTACTAAGCAAAGGCCATACTCTATGGAAAAGTTGGGCTGTGGTCACACATTGAAAGAAGCTATTCCCTGGTTGAGATGTTACCCAAAAGGTTCCTTCTGCCTGCTATCAGCAAAACATTCAAAGACTTGGAGGCTATATATAGGATAGAAACCAGAGTATATTCAGATCCAGCACCATCTGTTTTTCTCATTTGCCTGGCTGAGGTTAGGCTTTGAATCAGAAATGCTCTAGTTTGGGAGGCTTGCAGAGACCAAAAATCAAAGCAAAACAAACAAAATCTAAAAACTGCATGTTTGGAGAAGGAAATTTGGGTAATTAGTATTGAAGTAAACCCTGTGAAAGACCAGGTGCCCAAGTGCAGGGCTGTTGTCGATCCCACTCTGAGTGGCATTCATGGTCACACTGAGTCAACTACCTACACACTGTCAGTTTCTGGACACATCCAAGGATCTTTCAAATATGCCTTCAGCAGAGACACAACTTCCATTTTATCAGATCTTTCCACAATTGCAGCTCCAGTGGTTGGTGTTCATTCCTTCCTCATCTCAGGCACCACTGTGGGGACTACATAGGTAAAGAAAGCTAGCTGGGTCTCCCTCCTCGTTTTGATGGGGAGGATGATGGGAGAGCCAAAACAGGTGCTGATGTTGCCTCCAAGGCCTACTTTTTGTTCATCATCATCATCTAAGGAGATTTTTCAAAAACAAAAACTAGGAGCCACATCTAATTCCCAAGGGATTGTCTGTAAATAAAGAGGAATTCTACATTGGGTTCAAGACAACTTTCCCTCCTGGTTTCAGCATCACACCCTGTGTGTTGTTGCTTTTGAATCCAAATTGATGACAGGAAAGGAGACTAGAAGTCTGAAAAAACCAAATTGGTCTTGTAAAAGTTCTAGTCCGTGTTTTCACAATATGCTATTTTTGTACTGAACAGCCCATCATCTTTTAGGGAACAGAACTGTGCCTTTTCTATGTGCCAGCACTTTCTGGTTACCAATAATTATAACTGTGTCATATTCATTAGTTTAATCAACAGTATATGTGAAAAAAAAAAAAGGTATACATGCATCTCCTCAAGTATGATAAACTTTGTGAAATCAGGCCAAAAAGCTTCAGAACAGGAAGAAAACTCCCTGATATTGTGAGTAGATGGCTTAAAATTGTTTCCTTTCTGGCACTTAAGGAGGCAGTGAGAAGCAGATTAGGTGAGCATTCTGGAGAAGGTGGTTTATTGTTGGATGGTGCTGTAGACTGAACTGTGCCCCACAAAGTTCTATGTATCAGCAACTTAACTACTGTGACAGTGTTAAGAGGGTGGGAAATCCTATTATGGTAACTGAAAGGTAGGGCCTTGAAGAGGTGATGTGATTGTGAGGACCATGCCCTAGAGAATGGATTAATTGATGGTTTAATGGTGGTCATGGCTGTGGTTCTGAGGGCTTTAAAAGAAGGGTGAGTGAGGCGGTTACCCTCTCTCTGCTCCTGCCATTCTTGCCATGTGATACCTCGCCTTGCTGTGAAGAGTCACCACCCACCAACAAAGGCCCTCACCAGATGTGTTCCCTGGACTTTGGACTTCTCAGCTTCTGAAACTATAAGCAATAAATATTGTTTCTTGACAAATTACCCAGTTTTAGGTATTTCTGTTACAAATAACAGAGACAGACTAATAGAGATGGATTTGGATACAGACCTTGCGAGCACTCTTCCACATGTTTTTCATGTAGGCATAGGTCACCTGAGGGTGAACTGTGGGCAGAGGATGGTCAAGTTGCCGAGATGGATCGACTCCCAGGAGCAACACTAAGGTTTTATGAGCAAGAGCCTTAAAAACGAGAGGTTGGGTTATAGACAGAACTGCACGACGAGCATCATCTCTCCCCGCCCTTGCCCGCATGTGGTAGGGGTCGCTCACCAGCCTGCCGCTCTTGCCACACAGGCTTGCGTACTTGAGCCACGTTCTCATGTCCTCATGAGGGTTGACCACAAGGGATCGTACCATGAGGATCTTCTGCCAGTCTTCTACAATACGCTGGCAGCCCTGGAACATTCAGAAGTGAGGATTAGCTGTGTCCTCTGCTATATCTTAACCCCCTGAAAGTAACAGCGAAGTCCACGCTGAAACAAAAAGGAGATTCACTGATATCATCTCAAGTTAAGGGTACTGTGAGTAAAATACCTCTTAGGGACTGCTCAATAATTCAAGACACAGAATTACCACGTGATCGTGGGCAAGTTATTTAACCTCTCTGTGACTGACCTGTAAAGTAGAATAAAAATAGTACCAACTTCATAGAGTTATGTTGAGGATTAAACGAACAAATTATTTCAATTTCTTTTGTGGATTGTGAATAATGCTTTTTTTTTTTTTGCAGCTGGTTGGTATGAGGATCGAAATGCATTTTTAACTTTAATATTTTGCTTCAGTCTCTCTGGTTGAAGATGACTCTCACTAACAAAGAAATTAAATTTAAAATGTATCATTCAAAATCCAAAAAACTAACCAAGTGTGAAAGAAGTTTAAATAAATTTTCAAATGACATTTAAGTTGGTAACGTTTATATTTCTGATGTTATTAAAGCCTAAGCCTGCACTAAGACTTTTGGGACACACTGTTATGTTAGCCATCTTAGTTTTTTTCCTCTTTGTTTTTATTTGTCTCAGTTCAAAAACTGCATATACAAGGGGAGGTGCCTCATTAATTTACATGTATAAATTCTTTGCAATAAAAAAAACCAGAACAAGTTAATCATTATCAAAGGGGCTAAGCTAACTTTATACCAAACAACTGTTAAGAGTAAAGTGAACTTCTTTTTCACCCTCTCTGGTAAAAAGTCAGAGTAGGCAGCAAAATGGGTTCCTGAGATCTTCATGAGAGTTCCATAAACCTATGGAACTGCCTCCCTGGAGATAAACATAAGTCTAGCAACAATGATCTCAGGCTCTTAGATGTGATAGGCTGCAGCTTGAGCCTGACTAGAGCACTCAAGGCAGGAAGAGAACCAGTGCAGGTGAGGCTGATCTCTCAGACTGCCCTGCCAGAGACCTTGGTTGAGGATTTTAATTTAAATAACTTGACCAGGAAATGGCACTTTTCCAGCCCAGGCAGTTAATTGAGTGTTTTGACAGCAAAGCCATCCAGGAGAGCCAAATTTCCACCACAAATGTAATGCTTTATTTTCAGGCCTTGGACCATATTTTTCCATCCCATGAAGTGTGATAATAATGATTTGGAAAGTTAGAAAAACAGCAAAAAGAACACTGAATGATTGTTTTGGTTCCTTCTCACCAATGGCTAGTTTCTCCCAGATGCTGAAAGAATTTGGAGGCTGACTGGTTAGCTCGGTTGGTTAGAGTGTGGTGCTGATAACACCAAGGTCCAGGGTTTGATCCCTGTACTGGCCAGCCACCAAAAATAAATAAATTAATTTATAAATTAGAGCATTAAAAAAAAAAAAGGATTCATCTCCCTGTAGCCCAAAAATCATCTTGCCGTCTCAAGATAGGAAAGTCACAAATGTTTAAAGTGATGGTAGGGTCCTGGACCCAGTAAAGTCAGACATGTGCCATGCGTCTCCCCTCCCCAGGACTCACTCAATGCATCCCCCTTCCAAGTTTACATCTGAATTAAGTCCCACTTGTTAGAATGTCAAAAGATTCATCAGGGCCGAGCCCGTGGCACACTCGGGAGAGTGCGGCGCTGGGAGCGCAGCAGCGCTCCCGCCCGCTGCGGGTTCGGATCCTATATAGGGATAACGGGTGCGCTCACAGCGCTCACTGGCTGAGCGCGGTGCGGCCGATCTCAAAAAGGACAAAAAAAAAAAAAAGAAAGAAACTTACCATTTCTGTAAGTTTGTAGAAAAGGTGTAGAAATGGTTGAGTTCTAGGGGTGGGTGTTGTCATTCATTTTGACATTTCAGTGGAAATGTCAAAAAAAAAAAAAAAAAATTCATCAGATCTCTGATTTGGAAACTCTTCACCCCTTTACAGCACTTAAACTGGGGTGTGTACAAGTCAAGTGGGAAATGCTTGCTTTGTGGAATTCCTTCTTGTGCCCAGTAGATAATTTTCCATCAAAACATTCACTGGGCATGTCACAGTTACTAACAAAACATGTAAAAGAATTGTATGTGCTCATTTCAGAGCCATAAATGACTATAGTCATAGATGCACCTTTGCCCATTGCTCTTTCCTGTCCAGGGGAATGTGCTCTGAGTCTCCTGGGCAGGAATGCAGATTGGAGGCAAAAGATATTGTTACAACCTACTGAAAATCATGGAAGCACAAACCTTGATTGGTCTGGAGAGAGAATTTGGAAATAGTTGTGGATCTGGCCAAGAGGAATAATAATCGAGGGGGCTGATTATGACAAGCAGGGAGACAAGTGGTTTCCAGAGTGGTAAAGGCTTTTTCTCTTTTGCTGATGAACTTCCCCTCCTACCTACTCAAGGAATGGGAGAACCAGCAATCTTTTCCAAGAACACTTAAGACTGTGGACTCCCAGATCTGGAATTGACAGCTCTTCATGCTAAAATGATCAGAATGCTACAATGAAAACACTGATGGAGGACTTGGAAAAGTTCCTCTACAACGGAAAACTGCAGTGGAAAAAAGTCTGAATAGAGGTGATAGGATGATTCTGATTTAAGGAAATACAAACGGCAGGAGTTGGTGAATGAGGAGATCAGGCAACCCCGAATAAAATGGTAGATGCAGGTACAGCAGTGGTTCTCAACTTTGGCTGCACCCTGGAATCATCTGGGGAGTCTGAAAAGATACTGATCCTGGGTCCACCTCCAGAAATTTTAATTGTCCTGGAGAATAATCTGGGCATCAGGATTTTTAAAAGCTCTCCAGGTGATTCTACTATACAGCTAAGGTTGAGAACCACTGACTTTGAGGTTGACTCCCAACTGGCGGGTCATAAGTGTCACTTATTAAAGACATTTTCTTTGACTCCTAGAGAAAAATGAGAGGAGACTCGAAAATTGGTCATTTTCTCAGAGCTAAAGCCTAGGTGAAGAGCCTTTGAGTGTTTTGCTTTGTATGCAAGCCAAGCATTGAGCGCTGGTAGAGGAAGCAGGAAAAACATGTTGAGTCAGAGCAGGAGAAGGAGAATGTGAGAGCTTGCCATGTCCTCAGTGGGAGTAGGTGTGTGAACAGGGGCTTCCCACCAGGCTCACCTGCAATCTCTCCCACCAGATCTGGCGGATGATCTCTCGTCGCTCAGGGACAAGTTTGTACTGGATAACCTCCTCCAGCTCGGACAGCATGTGGCAAGAAACCATGGCCTGATAGAAGCAAATCACATTCCATCCTAATTACCACATGAACAATCCAAAAGACATGATTAATTTAAATCACTCCTGGTGTCAAGGTGTCTGCTGACCCAAGAAAACAGGCATGTTTCCAGTAACCTATGAGTCCTCAACAGCTCAATCTGGAAAAAAAGAACTGAAATAAGCCTCAAAAATGACCATGTGCAGAATACTTGACACTCACCCCATATGCCCGACTGTAGCTCTCTCCTGCCATTGCAGTTAACTCAGCATCCAGCAGGTCCCTGGCCTTGTCAATGCACTAGAAGAGAAACAAAGAAGCCTAGAATTGAGCTCTGGACTTGGGAGCTTAGGGTTATTTTAGGGTTTACCTACTAGCTGCAGAAATTACGTGTCTCACTTTAATTCCAGTGAAGAAGAGAAAAATTCACCAAAGAAGGGAAGAAACCTTTTCTCAGATTTGGATGGCTAGTATCCAATTTCTCACCAAAGACAGAAATGTAAGGCATCCAAAACCTTAAAGTCTAAGGTAATACCACAATCTTGGGTGGTGAGGGAGAGGAAATGTGGACTATGAAACAGAATCGCTATGCTTTTGCATCTCAAGAGGACACCCTTGGGGATCTACCTTCTTTTAACTGTTCTTTACTAGGCATGTTTGTGAAAATAGACTCTACACACACTTGAATGGCTCCAGGTGGTCGTCTCTGGCTTCTAAGCTTCCCCTATCCTCATGAAGGGGTGCCTCTGAAATCAGCAGAGATGCCCAATCCTCTCCATGTGAATGGGGGCTCTTGTGGCTCTGACATACACCACTCAGGTCTTGGTTCTCTTCATGTAATTCAGAGGCCAGGGAATGCCACAGGACTGTGGCTTGGGTCTTCTCTGTGCCATCAATTAAAAAGCCCTTACATGGAGCTTTTCCTCTTTTAATGTTTAAGGTTAATTACTGTGTCCCCATCCCTTAAGTGCTCAGATCATTTCCCTGAGCATCTCATCTAAGATAGTTTGATGCCTGCCTGGGTGGATGTGATTAGGTCCTTACTTCATTCTGCAAGTCAGCACAGTCTTTGCAAATAAAGCAATAGCTTCCTTGGAAGGTAATCAACATGTGACACAGCTGCATGGCCAGAAGACCCTTGTGACTGACCGCTGCTGTAGAGTGGGACTGCTGGCTCTCTGAATCCTCCTTTGTTGAAACTCACAGCTTCTCTCTACTACAAAGAATGCTAAGGCAAGGCAATAAAAAGCATGCAATGATGACCCAAGAAGCTAGCTCCAAAAGCAATTGCAATGGTAACTCCCAGAACACATTTTCCTCCCTCAAAAAAGAAAGAAAACCCAGCTGATGTGCTAGCAGTCGTCTTCTTACTAAGTACTATGCATCAAAGCCATTCTAATGAGTTCACACAGTCAAATCAACACCAGAGCTAAAGTACAATAGCCTATTTACACAGCACCATATGCTCAGGACCTCTTGGGATGTGCACAACAGCCTTATCTTTGATGGAAGGTCTGGGTACACTGCAGGTTTTTACCTGTTGTGCCAAGGAGAAGAGGTCCTGATGTAGTGCCAGCACGGCTCTATAAAATGCCCCATCGTGGGTGTCCCGAGGGATCATGCAGGTGTACTCTTCCATACTATCCCACTGACCTAGGCACATAGAGAGAGACAGACAGGAAGCATCAGGGTGGTCAGCTGGCTGGGCTAAAGGCAGCATCTCAAATAGGCTTTGCCATTGTTACTTTTGTTTATCTTGGGGTACAAACAAGACAAATGAACTTGAGCCTTATGTACCAAAATCCTGCAGAGGCCCTCTATACACTGTGGGGGTTGATTTAACAAAAAAAGCCGTATCTTGTCTTCCAAACACAGGACTCCACTGCTGCCGCAGGGAGATCATGAAAGATGAGAGAAAGCGCATGAATGCAAAGCCTGCATATCAAGTGGGTTTAACGTAACACCTCATTAACCTACAGAACTTTCTCAGGCTTCTCTAGGTGAGATGAAATCACCTTCTTCCCTACTAGTGAAGCATCTCACAGTTCAATGGTACATCAGGAAATTACATTTTCCTCTAAACAATTAAAATGGCTATTACACAGATAGAGGACAGGATTAGACAAATAGCTTGCCTGTTTTTCACTCTGGCAATATCTTTGCCTTAGGAGGGAGGAGATAAATATTTTAAGAGGCTCTGTTATAACAGAAAGATGGGCTAGGTCACAGCACAGTGGTCTTTGTGTCACATTAGACTGGGGAAATGGTTGCATCCGGGAAGATGTATTCAGTTCCCCTGGTGGGGTAAGCATGTATCAAACGCCAGGATTTCCAAGACCATCTGCAGAAAAGATATCAGCTTCATTAGCTGCAAATTGCAGGGCTGCCAATTTTACAAGGCATTTTCCTGCCTTTCACTCCTGACCATCAGCTCATCCATTCTCTATGCCTCTGGGCAAAAGCAAATAGCAAAGGATGACTCCTCAGGAAGCAATTTGGTTTTGAAAAATGTCCCGGATCCAGCCCAGAGCTCATGAAAGGAACGGATATGAGCTCTATGACTCAAGAGAGAAAGAAGAATAGAATGAAGGTGGAAGGTTATGTAACCTTCCTCTGGACTCCACAGATGAAGCTTTTCATCTGGGATATCCTATGAATCCTTTCTCCTCTTATCAAGAACATCCCTGGAACAGATGTTGCTAATCCTCTCAGCTGGAGCCTACTGTAAGAAATCCACACATGTCTGTATGGATAAAAAAAAAGAAATCTCTGCTTTAAAATATCCTGGGAATAGGAGTGAGGTGGGTGAGTGTTGGGCAGCAAGGAGGAGAATGGAGAAAACAAAATGGTCAAAATGTTTATAATTATTGGAAAAGGTGAAGGGCCAATGGAACAGTAAACTATTCTCTTCACTTTTATATATATATATATAGGGAAAGTTATATAATAAAACTTAGGAAATAAAAGTAGGTGAACAACTATCTTCTCCTTTTACTCTTGCTTGGGATAAAGACAAGATGGGTGGAGCTCCAGCAACTATCTTGGTTCATGAGGTAGAATAAGCATGCAAAGCAGAAATATGGAAAAAGGCTAACGATGATGGAGTTAAAATACCAGTCTGGGAACGTCTACCTCTAGATTTCATTTATAAGAGAAAAAAAATATCAACCAGAAGCTTGTTTGGGACAAACAAAAACAAATCCCCTGTTGATAATACCAAGTTCAAGGGTTCAGATCCCCAAACAAAACAAAACAAAATAAAACGAATCCAGTGGCTGGCTGGTTAACTCAGTTGGTAAGAGACTGGTGCTAATAACTGCAAGGTCTAGGGTTCAATCCCTTTATAGGCCAGCCACCAACAAACAAACAAACAGACAAATAAAACAAATATGACTGTAGTTTAAGAAACATATTTGGTCTTTGTCCCTAGTTCCTGGCACAGAGTTCCTAAAACCCTTCAAATTTCCTGAGTGATGGGAGTGAACTCCTTTTGATTCTGCTAATGAGGTGACTGAGGCCTCTACGTAGTCTCAGGATGTGAACAGTTACCAGAAAGACCAACTGATTACAAGGTTGGAACTTTCAGCCCCACCCACTGACCTCCAGGGAGGGTGGGAGGTAGCTAGAGATTAAGTGCTATCAAAACTCTTCAACAATAAGCTTCCAAGCTGATGAGGGTGTGGGGAGGATGGTGGTGAACCCCAAGTCCACGGGGACAGAAACTTCTGTGCTCCGGACACTTCTGGACCTCACCCTATGTACCTGTTCATCTGGCTCTTCATCTGTACCCTTTGTAATATCCTTTATAGTAAATGAGTAAACACAAGAGAAGTGTTTCCATGTTTCTGTAAGCCATTCTAGCAAATTATTGAACCTGAGGAGGAGGGGTCAATGGGAACTCTGATTTACAGCCGGTCAGTCAGAAGCACAAGTCATAATCTGGGACTTCCAATTGGTGTCAGAAGTGGGAGCATGCTTGTGGGACTGAACTCTTACCCTGTGGGACTGGATGCCATTTCCAGGTAGGTAGTGTCAGAATTGAATGGAATTAGAAGACACCCCATTGGTGTCAGCTGGAGAACTGCTTGGTATGTGAAGAAGACTCCCACATGCCTGTTGTCAGAGGTCTTCTGTGTGAGTGTGCTATATTTTTCTCACCCACTAAACCTCAAATCTGATGCTTGCTCATTGCTTTCCTCAGCTTCCCCATAAAGATCCATTTTTACCCATGTCTAACAAGTCAGTCAAAATCATCACATTTTGAAAGGAAAGGACATATAGAGGATTCTGAAGTAGGTAGATACAGACTGTTTTCACACCTCCACCTGCAGCCTGCAGTCAGAGGGCCTCTCTCTCCCCACCTTGATTAGGGTGCAAGGGAGGGAAGCCTTACCTAGTCCCCATGCGGCTGCAGCTGCCATCCGGGCCATCTTGGCTTGGGTCTCATCATTAACCAGGGTCCACTTTTCACAGCACTGCTGGTGGAGCTGCCCCCTGAAGGAAAAGAATTACCTAGTACGGTTAACTGAAATCACCTCCACAACCTACCAATCTTGCTCTCCAGCCTGTGTTAGCTGAGGGCTACAGAGAAACTGGAATGATAGGGACCTACCTTGAAATGGGAGCCTTTAAATAAAAAGCACATTCTAGGTCATATAAAACAGAAGTGAATGGGCTATTTGTTGTTTCTATGGACTGGTGCTCATAATTTGAGAGTGAGTTTATCAAGAATAGGGACTGTGTCTACTTCTATATGATGTGAAATGTCTTGAACATCTGGCCTCCTTCATAAGTATTAAGTAACTTCTCTCATATGCCAATGAACTCTGGGCTCTTCCCTTTGGCAGGCCTACAGAGAAAGCAATCTGAAGAGACACATCTGGACATTCATTTTGAGCTCAAAGGTATAAGGAGAACTGACTCTTAAAAGTATTATACAAATGTTTTCAGTCTGAAATGAAACCCAAATGAAATCAATCTGTACAGAAGAAAGGCTCTACAATGGTCACACCTACGAGAAATCTAGATGCTGCCTATTCTCAGAATTTAACACAATTACCATGAGTGTAAGGACTCTGAGATATTGAGATATGAATGGTGGTTAACAGACCCCAATACACAAAGAGAACCGAAGCCCTCTCAAGAAGAGAGATTTCCTATTGACTGTTAAAACTATTGCCCTCTCATATTCTACTTCTGAATGGAAGGACATAAAACACCACTATTGTGCAAATATGAGCCCCTCATTTCAGATGAGCTTCAAGATGCAGCTAGGAGACTCTTTAATTTTTCCTACTTTCTGAAAGCATGCTGTAGGATGTTTTAAATTGGTATTGGAAATGAAGTCAAGAGAAAGAGCACAAATTCCAAGTGGCCCAGGCTAGAAGCCTCATGTGACATGTGCTGCACTGCACTACAAGGTAATGTGTGTGTGGGGAGGAGGGGAGGGAGAGAAGATGCTGAAGCCAATCACTGCTGAAGGAATCTAGTCTAGGCTGAGCTCACTGCGAAGCTGACTGGGGACCACGTTCAGGAGAAGAGCTCAGGGTCATTATCCGACATCGTGGCATGGTAGCTAGTAATTTCACTGTGTCTCTTACACATGATCAAAGGAGCCAGGGACACAAGAACTCTGGCTCAATACGGAGCCAAGACCAAAAGAGGAACTGCGTGGCCACCACTGAAGCTCAGTGACAGGAGGAGGATAAACCTCAGTGTTAGTTTCCTGCCACCCAGACTTAGAAACCTTCATTCCCAGTCCCTACTAAGGGTTAGCTTAGAACAGTGGTTCTCAAACTACCACCTGCATCAGAATCTCCTGGAGAGCTGTCCGTACTTTACTCCCAGAGTTTCTGATTCAGTGGCGGTGGGGTGGGGAGGCTGAGAATGTGATTTATTTATTTTTTTTAAAGAAAATGACCAGTAAGGGGATCTTAACCCTTGACTTGTTGTTGTCAGCACCACACACACCCATGGGAGCTAACTGGCCATCCCTATATAGGGATCTGAACCAGTGGCCTTGGTGTTATCAGCACCTCACTCTCCCAAGTGAGCCATGGGCCGGCCCTAGAATGTACATTTCTAATAAGTTTCTATGTGATGCCAAAGTTGCTGGTCCATCCGCCACGGTTTTGAGAACCACTGGCTTAGAGCATTAGGAACAGCTCATTTGTGTAGCATATTTTTGCTGGGGTACTACCTGGAGGTAGGAGAGAAAAGCTACATAATCTCTGGAGGTCCTTCCAACCCTAGATTTCAAACTTTTACAGCTGGTGGCCACAGGCAATTCGGTCTCCCTCTACTCTTTTGTCAGGACCACTTGTTTCTGTGCCACATGTCTAGGGATTGATCTTTTCCTTTCATCTAGAGGCAGGGAGGAAGTTCAGTGATTAAACCCCACAAACTGTTACCTCAAGAGACAAAGCAGGGAGCAATGCAGGAGCAGCACCCTGGAAAGGCATTCCCAACAGAGAAGAAAGGCACACTGACTTCACAGCCATGTGGCTGTGCGAACGGCTGTCAGAGTCTGGTTGTTACACATGGAGAAACAGAGGCAGGGTTCCTCTCTACCACAAATATTTGTTACAAATATAATGCTGAATATGCTCAGTTCTAACTCTCAAGGGTGGAGGGGGAAAAAACAAATAAATAAAAAATATGAGATTGTTTGTGGGGCAATAACCAAAATAGGTTTTCTGACACCTCTCACTGCATACCAGGGAGAACTGGGTGAAAGTCCTATCCTCCAGGACTTTGACTTTCCCATCTAGTGCTGCAGCAAAAAGCTCAGAAAGCATTCTCCCATTCGGAATACCTCAATTGGCTGGCTGCCTGTGATCTTACTCCCAAGGAATCTTTTCTCAAAGATATAGAGGCTGTGTTTGAAATAGTGTGAGGAGGTGGTTCACTTCCATTCACCTTGGCTGCAGATGTGGCTGTGTGCACAACGGGGCTGGAGGAGGGGGATTACTTCTCATAGTCAGCCTCCTGGAAACGGATAAGCCTGGGGACAGGGGAAGGGTCTTAGCTCACTGGTAACTCCAGATCATTCCTGATGCCACCTCTGGTGAATATCTGCTTCAGGCATGTTCAGGATATATGCTCAAAGCAAAAGAAATTTAGAAATTTCACTCTAAACAAAATTGACTGAATAAACCATATCAGAAACCTCCATATGATCAGGAGAAGAATTCTGCTTCTTTCATTGTTTTTAAAAATCTCTTTTAGTCTCCCATATTCTTAAATCCCTTGGTCAGCAGCACTAGCCACTTATACTGTACAGGTAATTATAAAACTGGAAAAAACGCAAGAGATCAGAGGTATATGGGACTGAGAACCACACACTAGGAGTCCTGTATCACTCTGCTCTTAGGAAACCTCAGGCAATCCATCTCAACTTCTGTGAGTCTCAGTTTCCTCAACTGTAACATAAGCAGATTGAATGAAATTGCATTTCAAGTCTCTTCCAATGCATTCAGCTGTCCCTACTTAACCTAGCTAGGGAATGTGGTTGTCTCTAATTTGAACATGGGGGTAGAAGGGGAAGAGGCCAGGAAAGGTTTCAATGAGGAAGAGATGGTAGGGAGATAAAAAACAAAACAAAACTAAACTAAACAAAACTAAAAAAACAAAAACAAACAAAAAAAATGGTGGGGAGGATTTCAAAGAACAGAAGAATAGGAGAGAAATTCAGAATTGATAGAATGTGGAGTTCAGAGAAGAGCAAATAATTTGGTCACAGATCAGATTATGAGATACCTTAGAGTTCACTTGAGAAATGGCCTGTAGAAGTGGGTGGGCTGGAGCCACAACACAATAGTCAACCAAAGAATAAAATACCTACAAATAAATTCAGCTAAGGAGGTGAAAGATCTCTACAATGAGAACTACAAATTACTGCTGAAAGAAATTAAACACGATACAAAAAGATGGAAACACGGGCCGGCCCGGTGGCGCACTGGAGGGTGCGCCGCTTGGGAGCGCGGCAGCGCTCCTACCGAGGGTTCAGATCCCATGTGGTGACTGGTTCCCGCTCACTGGCTGAGCGTGGCGCGGGCGCAACACTGAGGGTTGCGATCCCGTTGCCGGTCCCCGGCACAGGCGCGACACTGAGGGTTGCGATCCTGTACCAGTCAGTAAAAAAGACAAAAAGGAAAAAAAAAAAAAGATGGAAACACATTCTACACTCATGGAATAGAAGAATTAACACTATGAAAATGGCCATATTACCCAAAGTGATCTACAGATTCAATGCAATCTCCATCAAAATACCAATGACATTCTTCACACAAATAGAAAAAACAATCCTAACATTCATATGCAACAAAAGACCCCTAATAGCCAAAGCAATCCTAGGCAAAAAAAATAAAGCTGGAGGCATTATACTATCTGACTTCAAATTATATTACAGATCTATGGTAACCAAAACAGCATCGTACTGGCATTAAAAGATACTCGGAACAATAGAACAGAATAGAGAACCCAGAAATCAACCTACATACTTATAGCAAACTGATCTTCGACAAAGGCACCAAGTTCAGTGATTGGGGAAAAAATTGGATCTTCAATAAATGGTGTTGGGAAAACTGGACATCACTATATAAAAGAATGAAACTAGACCTGTACCTCTCGCCATATACCAAAATCAACTCAAAATGGATCAAAGACTTAAATACAAGGCCCGAAACTATAAAACTCCTAGAAGAAAACATAAGGGAAACAATTCAGGATGTAGGACTGGGCAAAGACTTTATGAATAGGACTCCAAAAGCGCAGGCAACAAGAGAAAAAATAAACTAATGTGATTATATCAAACTAAAAAGCTTGTGTACATCAAAGGAAACAGTTAACAGAGTGAAAAGAATGGGAGAAAATATTTGCAGACTATGCATCCAACAAGGGATTAATACCCAGAATATACAAGGAACTCAAACAACTTAACAACAACAAAAAGTAACCTGATCAACAAATGGGCAAGGGAGTTGAATAGGCATTTCTTAAAGGAAGATATACACATGGCCAACAGACACACACAAAAATGCTCAATATCATTAAGCATCAGGGAAATGCAAATCAAAACCACACTGAGATATAATCTGGCTATTTACAGAAAGACAGACTATTATCAAAAAGACAGAGTAACAAATGCCAGTGAGGATGTGGAGAAAGGGGAACTCTCCTACATTCTTGGTGGGACTGTACATTAGTACAGCCTCTATGGAAAATAGTATGGAGGTTCCTCAAACAACTACAGATAGAACTGCCATATGATCCAGCAATCCCACTGCTTGCTATATACCAAACCCAAAGGAACAGAAATAATCAAGTCAAAGGGATACCTGTACTCCCAAGTATACTGCAGCTCTATTTACAATAACCACGAGTTGGAACCAACCTAAATGTCCATCGATGGACAACTGGACAAGGAAAATGTGGTGTATATACATAATGGAATAATACTCTATCATAAAAAAGAATGAAATTCTGTCATTCACGGCAACATGGATGAACTTAAGAGAAAATTAGGTTAACTGAAATAAGCCAGGCACAGAAAAAGAAATACTGAATGTCCTCACTCATAAGTGGGAGATAAAAAAACAAATAAAAAAGAAAGAAAGAAGGATACAACAATCACGACAATATGTTGAACTTTCAAAAGGAGAGAACAGACTGAGGTTACCACAGGTGGGAAGGGGGTTGGGGGGGTTTTGTGAGAAGTTGGTAAAGGGCCAGAAAAAAATCATTACATTGTGTAACGATGAAAATACTAATTATCCTTATATGGTCACCATATATTGTACACAGGTATTGACATTCAACTCGGTACTCCACAGATATGCATAATTAATTGTTTCAATTAAAAAAAAAAAGAGAGTCACTCTGACCTTCCCCATCCCTTCTTTCCTGAAGCAGGTAATAACACCTAGGAGGGATATTCTGACCTTCCCCTGAAGCAGGTCATAAGACTCCAACGTGAAAGATGCCCTCCTTAGACTCGGAGGAAAGGAGCATCATTATTTCTGAAGACAAAGGGTCACAGAGAAGAATCTGAACAAACAGGCCTTGCTAAGTTTCCCACAGTTTATTACCACTAGATTATACCTTTCTGCCCTATCCTACTCATATTTCTCCAGGACTATCCACTCTTCATCAAACCTACCATAAAAAACACTCAGGTTTAACTGTTTCTGTGGATCTCCATTTCCTCATGAAGGCTCCCATGTCATGTAAAAAAAAATTAAATAAATTTGTATACTTCTCTCTTATTAACCCGTTGTTTTGTTACAGAGGCCTCAGCTGCGAACCTAAGGTGCATAGATAAAAAGATATTTTTCCTCCCCTACACTTGGATTATCCTTGGAAGTCTACACAAGGGCCTGGTCATAGTGCATGGAAGTCTGGGTGGGTGGGAGACAAGGAGAAGACTTAGTTTTCATAGTTCTGTCACTGTCATGTACTGCTGAATTTTGTACCATGTGCATATTACCTTTTCAAAAAATAATGTTTTTTTGTTTTTTTTTTTTGTGACCGGTAAGGGGATCGCAACCCTTGGCTTGGTGTCACCCACACCGCGCTCAGCCAGTGAGCGTACCATGTACTGCTGAATTTTGTACCATGTGCATATTACCTTTTCAAAAAATAATTTTTTTTTGTTTTTTTTTTTTGTGACCGGTAAGGGGATCGCAACCCTTGGCTTGGTGTCACCCACACCGCGCTCAGCCAGTGAGCGTACCGGCCATCCCTATACAGGATCCGAACCCGTGGCCTCAGCGCCCCCAGCGCCACTGCGCTCCCAGCGCTGCACTCTCCTGAGTGAGACACGGGGTCGGCCCAAAAAATAATGCTTTAAAAATAAAAAATTAATATGAAGTTTTTTTCCTTTTTTTATGGCAGCTGGCCAGTTCAGGGATCCATACCCTTGACCTTGGTGTTATCAGCACTGAAGGTTTATTTTTTAACGTACCCTTCAGGGTCAGAGAGTTTCCATATCCCAAATGCAAGGGTATAGTCCTGTGGAATTCTGCCTGCCACAGATTGTTGCTCAGGAGGCCTGGCTTCAGGGGAACCTTAGGCTTGTACTGATCTGGCCTTTGAGGAGCTCTGGGTGCTTCCAGCCTCACATTCTATCTGGAAGCTCAAAACTGTAATTCTTTCTTCCCCATCCCTTCCACATCTAATCAGTCTCCAAATCCCATCAATGATGCCTCCTAAACATCTCTGGATCCAGCTGCTTCTCTCACCCCAGTGCCATCAGTCTTACCTCTTGGCCACTATCACCTCTCCCCTTGGATGGTTTCTGAACTGGTTTTGCCATCTCTTCTCAGGCCTCCCTTCAATCTACTCTCTAATTTGCTCCTAAAGAATTCTTTTTATAATGCAAATCCCATCATGATGGCTCTCCAAATTCTTCCTTGGCCTCCCAGTAAGCCCTTAATGTTAAAGTCCAAACTCTTAGGGCCAGCCAGTGGTGGCTCACTCAAGGCCGCAGGTTCGGATCCTATATAGGGATTGCCGGTGCGCTCACTGTGCTCACTGGCTGAGCGTGGTGCAGACAACACCGTGCCAAGGGTTACGATCCCCTTACTAGTCAAAAAAAAAAAAAAAGGCCAAAGTCTTAACAGGGTCTACAAGCCTTATATGAGTGGTCTATAAGGTCTATAAGCCTACCTCTCCTGCCCCACCTTCTACCTCTTTCCAGATTGCACCTGGTCACTTCAGCTATACTGAACTTTCAGAACACACTGTGCTCCTCACTGTACAGTCCAAGTTAGATATCAATTCTCCTGAAAGGTTTCCATAACCCTCCAAGACTGGATTAGGGTGCTTTCTATTACCCACAGCCCCCTGGGTCTCTCCTTTATTACTGTTATCACACTATATTACAATAGCCGGGTTATCTGCCCTGTGAGTTCTGGGAAAGCAGGGGCTGTATCCTCAGGGCCTGTATCCTCAGGGCCTGGCACAGACACTGTTAATGAACAAGTACTCTATAATTACTGGTGGGAAGGTAGTATGGCATTCTGTTTTAATCATTTAAAACTGCAGTTAAACTATTTAATGATGGTAGTATAGCATTTTATTTTAACTATTTTAAAAAATTACATTTGATGTTGGAAACAGAATGGGGATCATTTTTTTCTTTAACATCCCCCAACAACTCTCTAAACCAACACCTAGCCAAATGATCTCAGTTAGGCATTACTGTTGCTTCTACCTGGAATACCCATTTCCCCCTCTCCCTTCTTCATCTGTCTCCTAATTCTTAGTCTTTCCTCCAGGAAGCATTGCAAGATCACCCTGCTCTCTCCTTTGGTCTTCCAAAGTAATCTGCTCATACCCTTGTCACTGTCCTCTCAGGCTCTATCAACACCACAATCTAACCAACTGAGAACCGGTCAATCCCCTCTCAGGCTTTAAAAACACTCTGTTTAAGTGCCTGTCCCATCAACCTCACAGTAAAGGCCTGGTTTTTTCTGTCTTTTGTATCTGTGGATCCTGACATAGTGCTGGGCCCATTGTTAGTATCCAATAAAGGTGTAGCACCTGAAGAGGGAAGTCATTGTTCCTCTTTCCTAAAAGCACTAGCAAGAGCTAATTAAAAAAAAAAAAAATTACGGTTGCACAGTACAAATATGAGCTCTTCACTAGGTTAGTCAAGGTCAAGAAAGTAGAAGGAAGGAGGAGGCGTAGATTCCAGGAGCATTCCCAAGTCTGTCCTGTCCTAGAGCATTACAAAATTTAAGTTAAAAAAAATTTTAAAGTCTTGCTATTTAGCAGCTGAGACAGAAGAGCAAGATAAAAACAACAAAGTGATTCATAGGAAAATATCAAGGGAAACAAAATCAGTCTGAAGTGGAAACTCTGGGGAACACCTTTCTTTCAAATCTAAGATCAAAAAGATAAAGTCTCGGGCAGGCCCGGTGGCGCACTGCTATAGTGCGCCACTTGGGAAGTGCGGTGGCGCTCCCGCCGAGGGTTCAGATCCCACATACAGACCGGCCGCTCACTGGCTGAGCGAGGGGCGGGAGCAACACCGAGGGTTGCGATCCCGTGGCCGGTCCCGGTCCGGTATGAGCGCGACACTGAGGTTGCGATCCGTTGCCGGTCACAAAAAAAGACAAAAAAAAAAAAAAAAAAAGATAAAGTCTCTA